CACGCGCACCGTGCCCTCGGCCTTCCACGAGCCCCGCTACATGGGCATCGCCCTGCACAACGAGCTCATGGTCTCTGCCACCTTCCACGTGGTCAGGTAGGGCCAGGGACCGAGGTTCGCACCCCTGGGGATGCTCAGGAGCCGTGCCAAGGTGGGGAGGCGTTGGGTGCTCTGGATCTGCAGAGGAAAGGGGGTTTGGGAGCTCGGGACCCCCACAGCGGGAAGGGTTAGAGGTTTGGGTGGCCAGGCAGGGGGGTTGTGGGTCTGGAGGTGGAGAGGGGCTGGCACTGCCCCCCTGGTTCCTTCCAGGTTCCTGATTGTCCCCTCGCTGCACCCGGACTGGACTCTGCTGCTCTTCTTCGCTCACACCCACGGCACCATCACCATGACCCTGGCCCTGCTCTTCATCCCCAAGGTATCCCAGGGAAGGAACGGAGCTGGGAAGGGGCTGGAGCACCACAAGAGGCTCCGGGAGCTAGAGGGGCTCAGCTGGGAGAAGAGGAAGCCCAGAGGGACCTTCTGGCTCTCCACAAGGCCCTGACAGGACCTGGGGAGGGTCGGGCCCTGCCCCCAGGGAATGGGGACAGGAGGAGAGGGAACGGCCTCAGGCTGGACCGGGGCAGGTTTGGGTTGGATATTGAGGAAGTTTCTCATGGAGAGGGTGATCAGCATTGGAACAAGTGGAGTCCCCACCCCTGGAGGTGCTCCAGAACGCGTGGCTGTGGCACTGGGGACCTGGGCAAGCGGCGGCACTGTCAGCGCTGGGGGAACAGCTGGGCCCGCTGACCTCAGAGAGCTTTTCCAGCCTCCACAATTCCACACGATTCCATCACTAACACTCATCCCAGGGGCTCGGGGAGCGGGGACAGGACCCCCCGAGTGACTCCCCCGTGTCCCCCGGCAGTTCCTGCACACAGGCTCGCCGCTGCGGGAGGAGATCACGGCCGAGGTGTACGAGGACGAGCTGGACATGCGGCGCTCGGGCTCCTGCATGAACAGCAGCATCGCGTCCGCCTGGAGCGAGCACAGTCTCGACCCCGATGACATTCGGGTGGGTGGCACACTCAGGACCTTCTTTTGACGCTAGCTGTGCAGAGTAAGAGGTGCCTTTCGCAATCTTTTCCTGACGCAAAGCAGAGGGAGGGGACGAGGGGGTGCAGGGTGACCCCACCCGGGTGGGCGAACCCGCTGCGTCCTCTGGGCNGCTGTCCCCGTGTCCCCCTGCTCTGCTGCCACCCCAAACCCTGCAGGGTCAGGGATCCCCCTGCCCTGGCCCTGGCCCCTCCGAGGCTGCACCCTCACACTGGTGTCCCTGCAGAGGATCCGCACATCGGGAATCATCCTGCTGGAGACCATCCTCTTCGGCTCCCTCCTCCTCTACTTCCCTGTGAGTCCCCAGCTGTCCCCAGGGCTGGAAAGCTCCAGGATGGGGTTTCCAGGGTGGACCTGCCCCACGCAGGGCACGGCTCCATCTAATTGTTAATTTTGCTGGCACGGTCCCTGGGGGCTGCCGTATAAACCTTCTCAGAAAACCAAATCCCTTTTCTCCCGCTGCCTGCGGGAATTAATCCCTGCCCAAATCCCCTCTCCCCTCCCGCACGAGTGCAGCGGGTGCTGCAGGGTCACGGGGGAGGGTGGCACAGGGCTGGCCTGGAAAGCAGGTGGCTCCCGAGGCTGGGGCAGGGGGGATCCAGCCCGGATCCCTCTCTCCCGTGCTCCAGGTGTTCATCCTGTACTTCAAGCCGAGCATCTTCCGCTGCATCGTCCTGCGCTGGGTGCGGATGCTCGGCTTCGCCATCGTCTACGGCACCATCACCCTCAAGCTCTACAGGTAGCTCGGACAGGGGGCTGGGGGCTCGGGACCCCCACAGCAGGAAGGGTTTGGGTGCTAAGGACACCCATGGTAGGGAGGGCTCAGGGAGGCTGGGGGGTGCTTGGGACCCCTCTGGTGGGAAGGGCTGGGGGCTTGGGACCCCCACAATGGGGAGGGCTGGGGGCTCAGGGCACCCGGAGTGGGGAGGGCTTGGGATCCCCAAAATAGGATGGGTTGGGGTCTCCCTGGGATGGATTGGGGGTCTCACCGGGATGGATTGGGGTCTCAGTGGGACAGCCAAGATCTCACCTCCTGCCCCTGGCAGGGTGCTGAAGGTGTTCCTGT